TATAATAGGTCAAAGGTCATTATATATACATAATTTACTCGTATTAAATATAAATAAGTCCATAGCATAAGTATGTGCTGTGGATGCAAAGGTGGCAACAGGAAGCTATGTAAGGGGGGGGGGTTGTCATTAAATACATTGGTGCGTTGTACAATACAAAACATTGTCACAGAATTAAGGTAAAATAAATTCAAAATATCACCTTATCAATCTCTCCCATGAACATTTTCAGAAGGCAGAAAATATTTTACATTTCTATAGTAACATGTTAACCCTAAATTCATTTTTAAAAATGTTAGAGCCGGCGTAGCTCAGTCGGTATAGTGACTGGCTACGGACTGGGCGACCGGGGTTTGTTCAAAAGGACTCAGCATTTTAGTATTATTATAATAATCATATAAGAAATAAGGTGTATTACCATATAATAAACTAAAAATGGTCCAGGATAGCCTAATGGTCAATGTAGGGGTTTGGTATCAACTATTTTGATCTTCTGGTTACGTTATTAAAGTTTGCTAGTTAGTTAAACTTCCCAAAAGACAAACTTCCGGGCGAAGCGTTTCAGAGCTGACGACACATGGGACGTGTTTTGCTGCCAAATAATCACCAAACCGCACCAGTTAAACAGATCGTTAACGCGATAAATATCACTCCATCCAAAAGATTACAACGAAACAAACAAAAAGTGTATCAGCGTTCGTTAATACATCGTTTAATTACAAGATAAAGCATGTCAAAGTCATTTATGTAACACAAATGGGTCAGAAAAAGGCAACAAAGCGAAATGTGCAAGCCTTATCATGCCCAGGTGAATGACCATAGCATATTCGCTTTGCGGTTGTAGCAGAACGCACCAACAGATTCCACTGAAAATAAACAACAGACACAGTCTGTAACGGAATGCAAATAATCTGTCAATTAAAGCATTTTAGTATTTAAAGAGTAAACTGCCCGTCGGGAATAACGGAAAAGTCGAAATCAGTAAACATATAAAGTCATAAATATTATCCCATAAGGCCCAATATCCCTAAACAGCAAACGATCAACGACCAACCAACATACAGCGCAAACCATTCAACCGCAAACTTAATTGGAAAACGATAACGTAATAACGGCGATAAATGATTAATTAGGTTTGAGTAACTGTATTACGTAAGCGATAACTTCATTTACTCGGAAACCAAAATACTGCCTTCAACAAAACTGCCTTTCTAGCTACGAAGAACAAACGCAAGATACACAATGCAGCTTCAAATGTACGCTTTGCGTCATTCCAGAAACATTCTTAATAAAATGTAACATTCGGTTCATTTCCGAAAGAAAATGCTGCTTACAGAATCTATGAGCGGAGAATAAATCGTCCCTGGAATCCTCCTAGGGCGTTACAACCCGAAAAACCAACATAAACGTCTTCATCGTCATGAGAACCTCAAATCCAGTATCCTCAGGACTTTGTTCTCATACGCTTTCCAACCTACGTTCTTCCTTCGGTGTTGGTGTTAAGATGGTGTTCTACAACCGGGGGTCCGCGATTATAGTAGATTCTACTCTTCTTCTTTATGCTGTATTACGTTTTATCCAACTTCATTTACTTCCATCCTAGAGTCAAAAAAGACACAAAAACTGTGCCTTCTTTTACATTTTGTTTCCTCTATATTTTATTTAATCAAAATCTATGAGAATTCTAGTGACGGGTACCGTGGTAATAATTTTTTTTATAAACACTGGTGCAGGAAACCAAGTCGAAAATATAAAATTATTGCTGTATATTTTAATATTTCTGGTGCAAATCCACTCCGAAGCTGGTGATTACACAAGGGTTGCCAGCCCAACTTAAACAAGATTCTTGAAGATGTCTGTCTTCTGGGTTGTAGCGCCGTGTAGTCTGGTAGAAGTTCATCAACGTTTCAGAGGTCCTTGATGCCTCCCAGAGCGAGACGTCTGAAACGTTTGTAAACTTATACCAGACTACACGGCGCTACAACCCAGAAGACAGCCATCTTCGTACTCACCGCCGTGAGAAACTGAAATCCTACTTAAAAGGATTTTTATATTTCTGAGTGTTACTCCATCCCCTAATCGGACCAGACTTCATTGTAGTTGCAAAACACACGAATTCCAGAAAAGGGCCTTCGCTATAAATCGCAAGGGAAAAGACTGCGTATATGATCACGAAGAGATAAATATTTCGTGACTGCATCAATTATCAACATAACCGGTGCATTGAAGACATTTGTCTTTCACGAACGGAGGAAATGAAGACCCTATCGTCTTTTACCTTGCAATGGGGGTAGTGGCAACAGGGTGACAACCTCCGGTGTCTTGCTTTCCCAAGACCCGTAGCTTACTGTGGAGAACAAGGAATACAGACCCACATACTGGGAGAACGATCGATCGACATCATTTAGCTAGCAGTGGGTTATACGATCCGAGCCAACCCCCGCCATCCAACAAACCAATCTGCTTATTCTAACACAATATTTTATAAATAGGACACATCAGCTACCGGTATGAGCTGATGGTATGTAATTACTGAGCTAAAATGTAAATACCACAAAGAAAAACACGAATTGCATTAGATGCAAATAAGAAAGTCTTGTCTAGAAGTAAACACGAAGATTATAATCTCAATCACCATCATCAAATTTAACAGAACATGATATATCAAAATTCCAAGTGAAGGTAGAGACAGTATGGTCCTCTAAAACGTCGGAAACACATCCAGCTTCAATACGATTTCAGCAATCACAATCAGAGACGACAATTACAATGAATCATTCCGAAAGCTTAAGATCTGTTATAACTTTTCCTAGTACATCACTCCCAAGTATCAGTGACTCTTGCACAAACTTTTCCCAATATTGCATTAACACTTAATCCAGTATCCGCAGACCCTGTACACGACACAAAATGAATGAGAACAGGGTACAGCTCTGACACAGGTAAAAGCAGCCGGAGGGTATAAGCAGATTTTAATTATTAACAGACGACAGTCATCAGCAAAGTTCAAGGGAACCCTCACAGCGCAAAAGGAGATAAACGACCATGTTGTTATAACAACCGGGAAGGTTAACGTACAAAATTAGAATTGCTTTGCATTTACTTTCTTGTATCGCCATCATAACTTCACAGCAAACATGAGAATCATCTTTACGTAATAACCAAAAGCTGAAAGGAGTTGTCCATCTTGCAAACGAGAAATATTTTAGTATATAACACAACACGGAATATTATTATTAAAACACCTTATCGTTACAGGGGTGTATACAAGGACAGATTCGATAACATTGCATTTCAGTACGACCTAACTTCTAGACCGGAATTCGCAACTCACACGAAATAAAAATTTCTTTTAGATAAATTATTACAATTTATGGGTAATCGGCATCATCTACGTAACTCCTAGATACTGCATAGGTCAATTCCACGAGCATTCAACAAAGGCCTATAACCTACTGGCCTTTGTTATGAAAAGCAAAAGTTCATCACAGTCACATCAAAAGCCTGCCAATGTGCCAGTTCACTTCTGTTAATATCCCACACCACAAAGACTGATTTTCATATTTCCAATAAGCAAGTTCTGTGTCTTTATAGTATCTACAGAGTGAGCAATGATCCTACCTACTAGCATGGCCTGCGTTGTGACTAACTCATGTCCCGGTAATTCGTTCGTTGATGTTGCGGCAAGCTATCGTAGTTGGTTCCACTTTAAGCCTAATAAGTAATTGGACAATCTTTGTTTCAGAGAGCAGAACTTAGACTTCAATAAGAACGGTACACCAGCTTGTTACATGAAAGCTTAAATACATAAATAAATAAAAACTAAACTGCTTTTAATCCGAGACCACTATATACACCTCCTCCACCAAAATACTTTGTATTTATAAGTTTTGTATGATTCTCAATGTAAACAGGAATTATTTACTTTTACAGCGTTAACCAGTTGACCTTTGTAATGGTAAAATGTAGTGTTTACTTTGTGGTACGGAATAAATTATTAAATATCAATTGGATGAACTTCGGCTTCAAAGAGTCAATGCAGTCATTTTAATTAAACCAAAGATTTCGTGAATATTTTCGTCATTGTCCAATTAGTTATTAAACGACACTTAAATATTTTTTTACTTTCTCCTGTGCGTACAACGTTTGACACATCACAGCTCAATATCCCTTAATTTAACCATTCTAAGACTGTCAAATCTGATGTTCAAAAATATCAACCATTTCACTTTGTACTGTAAGGGGCAGAGGGCACTAGAAACGAAACTAAATCGTCAGATGTAACTTCACTGTCAACATATACGATATAATGCCGTTTCTGACATACCCATATGGATCACATAATTAACATAAACTGCCATATTAAATACATATCAGCAGAAACGTGTAGAAAAACATTTCTGAAATTACTTACCTCATATAAGCAGCGAGATATTAAACAGTCCTATTATACTAAGAAATCATCCGTGTAGGACACTCACTATAAGAATGTCAAACAGAATGTAGGTTTATATGTTAACACCATTTCTTAT